CCATAATACAAAAACAAGAAAAGTATTGAGCATCTACTGACTCTGTCTTCATTCCAAGTAGAGTCAATTAGTTGCTCAATGCTTCCTATGAAATTACAGTGAGTATGAATCCATCAATACCCTCTAAACAGTGAGGATAATCCTACCAAGCATAGAACAAGATTCTATTTCCTACCACAGTTATCTTTAAGACATGCTATAGGATTGATTAACTAATCAAAAAAATTAAACAAGCATCTGGGTTTCCTTGTTTTAATCCACAAAAAAGATTTCAATTGAATGTAATCAAGCAACTTACTTTTGTTCACGATCGAAATCTCGGAATACCTTTTGATTTCTCATGAGCCATATGGACCACACCGTGTATTGAATCATGTTCTCAACCTTTTTATAGTCTTATCCTTGTTCATCCATTTGATTCCAACTTTAATTATTTCTACATGCCTTTTCTAAAGCTTCTTTGTTATGGTTGCCATTGTCTCTTGATTCCTTTTCCCATTTAATTTGGAAAAAGAAACATTCCATTTGATATGGGAAAATGGCTTCCATTTCATACGAATCAAAATTCCTTCCTTCAAATACCTCCTCATCACCAGCGCCTTTTTCACTTCAAATAGATTAGACACACACCATGAAAGCTACACCAACCGTGTAGTACTTAACTAGAACCCGTTGTTTTGGTCCTGTTGATGACACCATGGCCGGCTACTTTCTATCCTTTTTTATTTTTTATTTTTTATTTTTTGAGCAGCCAGCAAATTAAATTTTATATATGAACGGAGTAAGAAGGTACTTCAACCCACACAAAACAAAATCACAAAGTCACTACTCATGCATATATAACCGTCCCATTACATATTCCACCAAAACGTTTATGCCTTGCGGTGAGCTCAATGCTTTTTAATATTGGAGTATTTCTTGGGCACGCCCTGTTGGCTGAAAACACCACTCCTTATAGCTGAAGAACATCCTGGAACCTTTACCTTGAGCCATTCAAATGGATGAGAAAGACTTACCTGTCTTTGATTGAGGTAGCTAGTATATATGACCAAAAACAAAAAACCAAAAAAGCAAAAATGTTATAATTATAGTGTTACATGACATTATAAACTTATAATATAATGTATTATTATATAATTAATTCTTTTCATTGAAGAGTCCACTTATAATATTATTTGCATCTATATATTTAATGTTACATCATATTCATTATTTAATATTATGTAAGATTATAAATTTACAATTCTATATGGCATTCAAGTATAGAATTAACAAACAAAAATATAAATGAATGAATGAATGAAAAACTATATAAAGTACATATAAAAATAACTGACTTATTGGAGTTATGTACAAGATAATTGCAAAGCTGCTAGCAAATCGTCTTCAAAAAGTGCTGAACAAGGTTATTGGTGAGCAACAGATGGCATTTATAGGGGGTAGACATATGGTGGATGGAGTGGTGATTGCTAATGAAGTGATTGATGAGGCAAAAAGGAAAAAGAAGAAGAGTTTCTTGTTCAAAGTCAATTTTGAAAAAGCATATAACAAGGTGAGTTGGGAATTCTTAGATTATATGCTGTTGAGAATGAGGTTTTATGATATCTAGAGGAAGTGGATTCAGGAGTGCTTACAGTCTAGTATGGTATCAGTTTTGGTCAACGGAAGTCCTTCAAGGCAATTTTTGGTTAGCAAGGGCATTCACCAAGGCGATCCATTATCTCCCTTTTTATTCCTAATTGTGGCGGAGGGATTGAATGGGCTAGTGTCTTCTACGGTGGAGAAGGATTTATATAAGGGTGTGACAGTTGGCAATGAAGTTGTGATGGTGACCCACTTAGAATTTGCGAATGACACCATATTTTTTGGGGAGGCAACAGAAGACAACATATGGGTGATTAAAAGCATAATAAGGACCTTCGAGCTAGTTTCAAGATTGAAAATTAATCTAGGAAAGTGCCAACTTATGAGTACCAATGTTGAGGATGGCTGGGGAAGTAAAATGGCCTACAAATTATGCTGCAAAGAGGGGGGAACTCCCTTTCAAATATTTGGGAATCCCTATTGGGGGGAACCATAAAATGCTTGCAAATGTGGCAGCCATTGTTGGACTCTATTAAAAAGAAGCTGACGAGTTGGAAAGGTCGACATCTTTCTCTTGGAGGTCGAATAACGCTCATTAATTCTGCGTTGTCCAGTTTGCCCTTGTTCCTGATATCAGTTTACCTAATCCCTAAAGATACTCTCAACTGTATTGATAAAATTCATAGGAGTTTCTTATGGGGTGGGGAAGGAGAAAGGAAAAAAATTAATTGGGTTAACTGGGAGAAGGTTTGTAAGCAAAAAGAGTATGGTGGGTTAGGAGTGAGGGATTTGAGGAAATTTAATTTGACATTGATGGGTAAATGGTGGGGGTGGTTAGCAACATGTGAAGAAGACTTGTGGAAGAAAGTTATAGTAGCCAAATATGGTGAGGGAGGGAGACATTGGTTGGATTGGGTTAGAAGTGGGGTAGGAGCTGGTTCATCATGGTGGAAAGATATCCGAGGTATTAATAATGTGGAAGGGGAGAATGCAGGGTGGTTATCAGAGGGTTTTAGACTGAAGTTAGGGGAGGGGAAAAGTGTGAGTTTCTGGTGGGATGAGTGGTGTGGGGAGGGTTGTCTTGCTGCTAATAGATTTCCAAGATTCTATTTTTTATCTGCATGAAGGGAAAAAGAATGTTACCAAATGGGCAATATGTACAATGGAACATGGAAATGGAACCTCACATGGAGAAGAAGAGGCTATCATGGAACTTAGTAGAATGACTGAGAAAGTGAAGGTATCTCCCAACTGCCCTAATAAATGGGTGTGGATTCACAGCAAGGATAGTCATTATTCAACTCCAATTGTGTACTCACTTTTGATAAAGGAGCAAAGGAACCCGACTAAAGCACAAACTTTTAAGAGAGTATGGAATCCCATTATCCCAACGAAAACTTCTGCATTCAACTTTCAGTTATTGCTTGATAAAATTCCAACTAAGTCCAACTTGATGAAAAGAGGGATTGACAAAAACATGGGAGATGGCAAGTGTGCTTTTTGCGAGGAAGAGGTTGAAGATGCAACCCATTTGTTTTTGAAGTGCAAAATAGCTAAATGGTTATGGAAGGAGTGTGCTAGATGGTGGGGGATCAATATAAAGACAGATAATGACTGTTGGAAGACATTCAACTAGCTTGGGGCATGGACCAGAGACACACGCATCAGAAAAGGATGGGACTACATCTGGAGTGCAATAGTTTGGTCTATTTGGCTCACGCAAAATAGAAAGATTTTTCATTACCAAGAGGTGAATACGAGTAAGTTGTTTGAACTTGTTCAGCTGAGATCTTTTGCATGGATTAAAGCTAGAAAAGACAAGTGTTACTTTAATCTTTCAGACTGGTTTATCAATCCTATTGCATGCCTTACTATTAATTGTGAGGGAAAAGGATAGGAATGGAATGATCTGAAAGATGGGATTAACATTAAAGGGCTGGAGTGTTTGTGTTACTTGGTGCAAAGTATATGGGTTGAGTTCCACTTGTACTCTTTATTAATAAAAAGTTGCTGTTAAAAAAAAAAATCAAATGGTGGTGAACAATCCCTTGGTAAGCTTGTGAAATTATGAAAAATTATTGGGCATGCGCAAACCATACGTCTTATATATGTTATTGCTCATTCAAGCTTAATTACCTAAGCTTAACATGGTAGTTTCCATAAAAGAAAAAAAAAACTTTTCATCAAAAAAAATTAAAAAAAGCTTAACATAGTAGTTGATAATTTTCGATGGTAACATATACATATATACTTGCAGTTAATAACATCTTCCCTAAAAGAGGCTAGGGAGACATCTTCTTTTCCCGGTGATAACTAAGGGCCTACTTCCTAACGGTACTTATAACCACGCTTGAAAGTATACTTGACAAGTGTTTCAAACTCGGTCTGGTCTATCAACCCATTCCGGTTCTTGTCAGCATGGAGCAGTGCCAGAGAAGCTCGAAAACCTGGGAAACGCGAGCCAAGGCTAGTGAAGGCGTTCTTAAGCTCTTGCTTGTTGAGATGGCTGTCTCCATCCGCATCATATCGCCTAAAGACGTTTCTCAGCTCCTCCTCCGTGAAGGCCAGCACTGGACCTTGCTTTTTGTGATTTAAGGTGGCGCCCAAAATCCCCTTGCAAAGGCTTTTATCTAAGCACTTAGGCAAAAAGGGATCATCATTGTCGTCAGAATAATGATCCCAAGAAGCCTGCATCTTAATTACAAAGATAGGATTTAAAACTTAGAAGTGAGAGTGTGTATGGAGCAAGCTGCGAGCTGTTTAGTTCAGGCGCCGACATTACATATATATATACACATAGGATACAAGATATGAAAATATCTTTCGGTTTGATATACTTATCCAAACTTATTGATTTAGGCATCAAAATCTATACTTGGATGATACATGGATACATATGTAATTTTCTAAATATCACCTTTAATTAGTTAAGTATATATGATACCTGGATCGCTTTATCCTATTTTATCTAATAATTAAGCATCTTATCCCTACTTCGAGAACCTAAAACTTGATCGCGGGAATCTCCAGTCATATTTTCGGCAGTGAGAACCTAAAACTTGATTGCGGGAATCTTCCATGATATCTTCGGTAGACCAATATAATTATTCGTAAGTAGATATTGATCAATTCAAAATCATGTGTATATATATATATATATATATATATAAAAATCAGTGCCTTTAAGGCGCAGCTTCTTATATTCTCCATCGTACGGTCTAACTCTATAACTGTGTAAGCACTTTAAATTCTTGGTTTTTGTTGAATTGGTATATTTGCGGAGAACCCTTGTGCTTCTAGAAATGATATTTTTAATTCATCTCAAAAAAAAAAGAAATATTAATTAGGTGCTGATGAACACTTAAATTTGTATCTGAATTGATAATATCTACGCACTGTTTTCCCATTCAAATGAATTTTTTTCTTTTTATCAACAAAATAATTTTATTCATAAAAAACAAAATACACAAGGTACCCCAACCAATTATATCTTTCCATCCAAATCCAGTCAATATAAAAAAGGAAACACAATCATCCACGGATCTTTTAAGCAATCCAACTTCTTGGTTGAGGTTGTGGAATAAAAAAAATGTATTCGTCTTTTTCAGGCGAACAACCAAGAAACATATTAAAACGTATCTGGTCAATGTTCTCTGTGGACGGCATTCACAATGGGATTAAGGTATGTATTCACACAGAATCATTTGCTTTGTTTTCTAGGTCGGTGATTCATACGTACTAACTAATTACTCTACTCAGTAGATTCTTACTTATCAATTTAAATTTTTATAGGAGTATTAGATCACCGTTTTCTTTCAAATAATTATGATACTGTTTTTTTATTAGCAAACAAATTAACTTTTATTAAATAAAGTATAAGAAATACTCAACTCATAAAGAAAAAAAAAAAAAAAACTTTGTTAGCAAAGTATAGCTATTAATCCCATATTATAAATAAGGACAATTATACATATACCCAAACAATCAACACCCATTTCAACACCTAAGGCTTATGAACAGTAAAATTACAAATTTACCCCTCCTCATTTTAGCCTTGGGTGTTGATTGTTTGGGTATATGTATAATTATCCTATAAATAAAGATATTAATTATTATTAAAAAATAAAAGTTTACTTTTATTTAATCGTACTGTCCAATTAATATAATCTATGTAGCATTTATAATGAAATGAATGTCAATTTTTTCATTTTTAATATCAATTAATAATAAAAAAAGTATAATATACTTTAAACTTGTATTTTAAAAATATGGAATAAAAAAAACCCTTATAAATATAAAATTCTCTTTTCAAGCAAAATTTAAAAATGCAATCAATCAAGAAGACAACCTATGGTTCTAGTTTGGGTGGTGGGGAGGATAGGAGGAATATTGCTTGGATTAGGTGGGATGTTATTTGCATAAGTAGAGCAGAGAGAGGGCTAGGGGTTAGAAATGTGGAATATTTCAACAAAGTTTTGTTGGGAAAGTGGAAGTGGAGAGGATTAAAACAAAAGGAGGTATTGTGGAGGAGAGTATTGTTTGAACCATATGGGGTAGATGAAGATAGGGGATGGGAAGGGTGTTTGCAAAATGAGAGAGGTTCACTTTGGTGGAAAAAGCTGTGGAAGCTACAGAGATAGATGGTTAAGAAAGGGTTTTGTGAAGGTGGTATGTGAGGCTAATGATATTTTATTTTGGGAGGACAGAAGGGAGGGGACGTGAGCTTTAAAGAGAAATTTCCTAGATTATATTCTATTTCCACAAATAAAAATGGGAAAGTGAGAGAGCTAGGGGAATGGTGTGAAGGAGTGTGGGTTTGGAAGTGGGATTGATATAGGGATTTATTTGTTTGGGCGTTTAACATGGTGTAGGAATTGGAAGACACACTGAGGATTGTCAACATAAAACAAGGAGAATTGTACTACTGGGCATGGAAATGGGATAGCAGTGCTCATTACACTGTCAAAACAACTTATCAGCATCTAATGCCTCTTCAGCAGACTCAGTTGAAAGGAATTTTTGATTTGGTGTGGAATTGTTTTGTTTCGTTGAAGGTTGTTGCACTAGCGTGGAGAGCACTTCATGATAAGCTGTCAACAAAAATCAATTTGGCAAGGAGGGACATTATCAAGGATAGGAGACAGACCATTTGCAGCAGATGCCTTGAAAATGAGGAAACTCTTAGTCACTTGTTTTGTTATTGTATGCAATCTTGGAAGGTGTGGGCTTCATGTTACTATTGGTGGGGAATTTCTTCTGTCTTTGTGCAGAACATCAATGAACATTTCAAACAACACACTGGTTTAATAGGCAACATAAAATTCATAAGAGGCATGGATGGTGATTTGGTATGCAGTGATATGGTCCATATGGCTTCAAAGGAATCAAGTAACTTTTAACAATGGACAAGTCTAAGAAGAGGAGCTTTTGGAAATGGTAAAATACAAATCTTTTTGTTGGGTTCGTGCAAATTTGGTTCCTAACTTCTCATTTGAGGCATGGAAGGCAGATCCAAGAGCTGCTTTGAAATGGTATTAGTGTTGCTGCAAGTGCGACTTTATTGTTAAGGATGTAATTGGGAGTTGTTTTCGTTTAAAATTGTTGATGTGTTTGAGTACCTCTTATATTTATGAAAATAAAATTTTTTGACTTACAAAAAAAAAAAAAAAAAAAAAAAAAAAACTATGTTTCTAGTGCTTCCCTGGGTGATTTATGCCTCTAATAATTATGATATTGTAACCTGATAAATAAGAGTCTACTCATGATCCAATATAATAAATCTATTGGATAGGTATTCCCATCTTATGTAGGTACCATTCCATCTCTTTGTTTTAAGAGAAAAAATATACTTAAATATTTTCCTAATAGTAGTAATTAAAAATTAAAACAAATTTCTTATTAATAATGGGCTTTGAAATTTCAGACCCATTAAAGGGTGTCATCAGAGTCAGATTAGACTCTTGGGCCGAGCCCTAAAGCCCTTGACAAAATAAATAGAAAACTCCCTCCAAGCATCAAGCGAGAAAGAATGACATCGTTTAATTCATGGCAATAACAACTTCGCTAAACGTCAGCAGAGCTAAGCTCTTATTCGCGATAATCATCAATCTTTTTTGGGATAAATTAAATTTGATTGTTTGTTGGCAGTAGGTGGAAGGGTAAGATTGAAGGTAATTCTGAACTTGAAAAAAAAAAAAAAATGAAAAATGATTAGGCGGAACGGAAGGGGATCAGCCGATAAGGGGATGAATATGGGTAAGCAGCTAGAGGAACCAAGTTTTATCAAGGAAATAAAGATGGGAATGGTGGTGTTTGGAGGAAGAAGATGTCAGTGAATGTGAAAATCATCGATAGAGATTTAAAACTATTCAAGTGGCCGGACTTGTTTTTGTAAGTATCAAGGGTAAGTAT